ACATTCACATTGTTGGCAGTTTTTCCAGCTTTTCTTAGTTTTAAATTCCTCATATTTGTTTTGGACCATAGCTTGTTGTTCTTGTGAGAAACTCTAAATGTGTCCATGATTACGATTGGTCAACAATCAGTGGTGGTTGTGCAGCTAGGCTTTGCAATATGGTCAAATGGCAATGCACGCTAGCAAGTGGACTTCAGCAAGAGACATTTTAAAATATCTTTGCTCACTTACTGTTCTGGAAACACAAACATAACTGATGTGTTAATTTTGGCTCTTTTTGCCTTTGCTGATTTTTTTCTTTTCCTGTTTTTTGTCTCTTTCTCATCAGATTTGGGACATGAGCGACGATGAGAGCATCTGAACAACTGGCAGAGCAAGCACTCAGAAGGACTAAACACATCCATCCATACTTTCTTTTTTCTAAAGTAAATCCTGTATTTACAAAGACAAGGTTGTTTACGTAATGAGCACCAAGCACATGAGCAAATAAATAAATAAATGCTTTAAAAAGGCTTTAAAAAGCTTTAAAATTCCTATTAGTCCTCATTTGGATTCAAGATGGCCCAGATCTTCAGAGCTGGGAAGTAATCTAATAAGCAATTAAGAAAAAGACAACAAAACAATAACTGAAAGCCTGAACAAGTTTTGATTTTTTTTTTGCTTTTGATATGTAAAACTGTTGAACTTACTAAAGAATGTACCTGTTCCTGTCACCTGCTGTTGTCTAAACACACTTTAAGTCCCTGAACAAAAACACAACAAAACCTGCAAAAAACATTGGAACTAAAGAGTCTAAAAACACCAAGAAACCTCTCTGAAGTGCCACAGTTTCAATCCCCTCCCAAGGTCTCTGCATCAACACATTTAATGATTTTACTGGAGAGATCTTTGGCAAGGCAGTTACAACATCTGTTCACTTATTCAGTTTGAGAAAGAGCTTCTAATAAGTTTTGAAAATAAAATACAGTTCTGCAGATTCATCCATTTTTGGGGTCTTTTAATTAGAGGCTGTGACACGTACAGTAGAAGTGATGCTTAAACCAGCTTTGTTGCTATGAAGCTTTCACTCAGAGAGGACTTGCATACAGATGTTACTGTGATATAATTAGAACTGTGGAAACTGTTGCTCTTGGTTTGTTGGTGTTGATGCATGTACATGTTTGTGTAACTATGTTTTTTGTGTTTATTTCTTCCTCTGCATTGTCCTGGAAGTCTCATCTGCAGTGATGTATTCAGTGTATTCACATGTACATTTTAACAAATGCTTGGATATTTATGAAAGTGATTAAGACTGACTCGAGTTTCAATCATGAGAAAGGATCTGGTTTGTTTTCTGATTAATCTCGGAGCTGTTTTTCTCTTCTGTATTAAAAAAAAACTGGAATAAAATCCATTATTTCTCTATTAACATCTGTGAGGTTTATGTCGCTATGCAACAATGTCCTTTTTATTTTAGCTCAGTCTTTCCAAAAAGCTGTTTGCCGCTCTCGTAACCATTTCACAAGCACAAACACACCAAACAATTACAAGACAGAAACCCACACAGTCAGACTGTGGTTTAAAAGCACTTTATTGTTCATCAAGGCTACTTTAACGTACAAAAAAGGTGGCCTGCCAAAACCTTTTAAGTAGGAGACACAGAGCCACAAATCTTGATAGAAATTTTATTACAGTTCAGAGTATTACTACCATTAAGTACATGCTACTTCCACTTCAAAAAAAGACCTGGAAAATGTGGTGCAGTCCGAGTAAAGACCGACTCCTCTTTGATTTATTTGCTCGATTTTCATGTTAACTTGATTAAGAATGCAAAACGACTTCAACAGATGGAAACTGTGGTGACATATTTAGGAGTGACATCCCCAGAACTAATTTGCATCTTAGATCATCTACGCCTCGCTGACTGGCACCAAAGCAGATGATCCGCAGCACAAATCTACAGTTCCATCAGTTCCAACAGCAAATTCAACAAATGCTGACTGATAGTTTTACTTCACTCATTTCCCATCTATAGATGAAAAAAGTCATGAAAAAAAAAATGCTATTGCTTACGTGTTTGTTTGAAATTGTACCTGCCTGCTAGCCCGTGACTAATGGGGACTTTGCTTATATTTTTAAAATGAACTCTTTTGGAAATGGCAAGCAAGACAGAATGGGCTAGAGGCAAAATCTTCCAACAACACAAAACATGCAAATTGCTCAAAAGGCCCGCAAAACAAACTTTGTTTTGGCTTACTGGTAAGTCTTGTTCAAATGTCTCTGAAGTCACATGATCGAACACCATGGGGACCAATGGAAGTAGCGATTGTCACCGACACACCTGTGGCTTACTGTGGTTTCACACGTTTTCTGTGCTCCTGCACTTGAACCTTTACTCTAACAAGACAAACTCTATAAACAAAAAAGATCAACTTTTTCACAAAAAAAAAGAAAATGCAATGATTACAATATAAGGACAGGGAAAAAACAATTAAATAGCTACATATCATTAACAAATTCATTGTTCCTCAAAAAATACCTACGATTTTTTTTCTCTGTACATTCGTTACGCACAGCGTAATGATGGTCTTATAGTTTACCTATTATAAAAAAGTAGTTTTTTATTAAGTGATTTTCCTACAGTGCGTAGGGAGTGTGTGCCAAAGCATAAAGAGAGCCTACCTACAGGGTGGTAGTGAAATGATAACGAGAAAGAATAACAGAAAAACAAAATCCTCTGGACACCGAGTCCATTTCCCTCGTGTTCCGATGTTACTGACTGCATACAGGCTGACTGAATCTGAGAGGTGGGGGGAGAGGCAACGCTGAGTGGCAGGTGAACATGTCCTGACTCACAGGTCGCGCTTACAAAAGCTCAGCTTCTGAAAGCTCAGCCTCCCGCCCCAACACTCTGCCTGCGAAAAACCACCAACCCAATCCACTCGAAACTGGTCACAGAAAGCACAAGTACATGACAGAACTCCAGTTAAATGTGAATCTCGGGTAACATTGTAGAACTTCCATCATCTAGTTCTAGGTTCTGATAGCTGAGACTGGAATGTGTAGACGCTTTCGAACACGGTACAGAACTCTAATGTACGTACTTGCCATTCTTGACACAAATTACACAAAGCCAACGAATCAAAACCTCACCACCTATCTGCCTTAGCTCAGAGACTTTAAGTCAATCTGTAGTTTTAATGCAGGGTGAGTAATGTTTTCACTGACTGCTAGTAAGACCCCAAGTTCTCTAAATCAGACCACTAAATGTCCTCAAAAATTAAAATTCAATTCTTCCTTTACTCTCTTTATCTTTTATTCTTCACTATGGCCAATTTATTTCTTAAAAAAGGCAAATGGGGCACCTTTTAATTCGGGCAAAGACACGAGAGATGTTGTTGGGAGGGGATGGGGACAAGTAGCCCTCACTACTTATTAGCTCCGCCTGTTGATATAAAGATAGCGAATGCATTCAGGCCTGTACAAAGTTGCCTACAGCAGGAATGTATGCCACCTTGGCGCAGGTTGCTTTGCAGAGTAAAATTCATTTCCTTAGACTGCAGCACTCTAGTTTGAGTTCAGAAAAGAAAGAGAGAAATATGTATTTATATATATATTTATAAAAAAAGGTCTAGACACCAAGTCGGAACACAAAAAGTCAGCTGATGGAGGTTGAGCGAGGTGAAACGTCACACCATAAATTCAGATAACTAATTATCAGCCAAGTGTTTTGTTCTCTAGCGTCTCTCTGCTAGGTCTGCCAATGCTATTTCCGTAATGTCGTCTTTTTAGTGCCGTAACTTTAAGACACTTTTATGCGTCAACAAGATGTTTGAGAGCCATCGCGAACCAACTCTTCTTGTAAACAAACCCTGCTTCCCAAAAGCATCCAATGCCTGCCAAGGTGACTTTAAGATGGCAGCTGAACAGGCTAGATGCTCAGATGCTTTTGGAGAAAACAAGACCCCGCTGACTTTTTGCTGTTTGTGTGGTGTCTCAGCTCAGTCAAGCTGACGTTTGTAACATCCTGTACCACTGATGGATCAACATCTTAAGAAAACCTTAATGAGCTTTGGATCCCAAACCCAACTAAACCCCAAGACAATCGTCACTCTGCTGCGGGGATGAGCTGATCGCCTGCTGGGTTGAGATGATTTTAGGAAACGTTGCTCTCATCATTTAACAGAGCCTGTCCGGAGGCTGTCCCACTATAGATGTTTGTTACCATACTGCTAGTAATGGAAAACAACAAAACAAAAAAATACAAAATTGTAATAATAACAATAACAATATGGAGTACAACTGACCCAGCAGTGAGTGTATAGTGTCTATGTCTGTTACTGACAACGAAAGAAGTAACAACTAACGTCTGAATGAAAAGGCTAATAAAAGTTATGTTTGAAATGCTAAAAACACTAATAGATACCAGCTATTAAAAAACAAACAAAAAAACAAAACAACATGCATTAATTTACCCTTAAAACCTTGTAGAAATCTACCAAACCACAGTGTGTAGGAGAGGGAGGGAAGGACAGCAGGGTGTATGCCAAATATAATTACTACACCCACGATCAAAGAGACCAAACCCCCCCCAAAAAAAACAACAACAAAAACAAAGGTGTGTTTGAAGAGATCTGAAAAATCTTCTCTCCCCCGGTCGAGAAACCAGACTTTTTTTCTTTCAACCACAAAGTGACGTGCAGCGTCATCTATCCCCTCATCACTGTCAGCAGTTAAGCCCGTGAAACACATCAAAGCACGTCGTTCGGCAAAGCCCAGCCTTCAACACACTCGGTCAGTGTTTTCAACCCTAATCTCCTCTCATTACGGTTGTGATGGCCATGAACATCACAGGAGCTGACGGTTTTTTCATTTTTAACCTGACTGTGCTCTTAAACTGAAAGCCAACAGTTTTTATTGTTCGATACAAATCAGCGCTGCTTAAATAAGAATCTGGATGTGCGTAGAGCCGATACCAGAGGACCGGGCAGCATGACATGTTAAAATATAATACCTCCCAGGATCAAACCAAGGAGTCTTTTGCTTTTTAGGTATCTGTATAAACCACATACAAACATTCATATTTACACATCTTATGGCCACATTAGACCAAATCTACAAGCTGCAATTCTAGTGTTTAATTCAACCTACTTATAACCTTGTTCTCACAATATGATGTAGCGGTTTGGTGACTAATGGTGGATGGTAAATTTTTAAGTCCCTCCAATAACTTTTCTCTTTATTTATATTAATACTTGCAGCTCTCAATATAACTACTCCTTAGTGAAGTGCTGGTGGCTGTTTTTCACCTATGTGTGTGTTTTCAGCTAACAGCTTCACTACTGAAGTTTCAAAAGTCAAAAGCTTGCTGTGAGTCATGCGTCTACTGCCCAACGCCATAAAGGCGTGTTTACATTTTCCTAAATGCTTTCAATAAATAATGGATAATGACCTTGTTCACGCTTTTCTACCAGCGCTGGGGTGGAAATGTGCACGGGTAGATTTCAGAGAGGAGTTAATGGCATGCAAAAATGGCTATTCCAACAAAAGTTGGAATAATATGCCATCGTGTCAAAGTCAGCCTCATCCGTCCCAGTGTGTTCAGTGCCACATCGCAAAATGACATGCCACCCTTTACTCTCTACGGCAGTAGTGCAAATCAGACCGAGTCGATCACTAAAGTATACACATACAGTAACAAAACCACGAGAACACATACACAGAAGAGAGAGAGGAAAAGTGAGGGGGGGGGAGAGGGGGAAGGCAGGTGAGAGGATGAAAGAAGATAAAAACAGAGGGAGGTGATTGCAAGATGGCTTTTTGTTGTTTTGTTTCCGAGGTGGGCATGGATAAACATCAGCGTCTGAGGTTTCTTTGGTAGAACAGTCAGGTGGTTTATGTTCATTTTCTCCAAAGTGTTTCTCGCTCATCTTTCCTTTGAAACGTCGGGCATCGCATAACGCAGAAGCAAGTACACAAAACTACCGTTAAAGAAAAATAACAACAAAGAAGAAAAGAAAAAAAATTAATAATTAAAACACCTCCTTTTCCGTTCTCTCCATATTTACATATAACTACAGACACTTGCTCAGCTCCAAGCTTGACATGCAGGATGATGTATGACTGGAAGGAGCAAGCTCATGCTCCACCTAAGCTCCAGGCTAAACCCTCATCACTCATTACTGATTGTCTGGCATTAGCATACCAGAGGACAGATGGGAAAAATGACTGTGTTGTTATTGCTCGATTGATCCTCTATGAGTGCACAGTGAGAGAGCGGGCTTGAGGGTTTTAGATATTTTTAGCAGACCAGCAGACAAGCATTCCCTCTGGGATGCTGGTGACAGACCAAAGTGATGGGGGCATGGATGTTAGAGCCAGGATAAGGATCGGGAAAACTGGGGTCTATCCACCCCCTTCAGGAGACGACAGAAGGGGAGTGGTTGTGATTGACCATGCGACTGTCAGGGGAGGAGTTTGGGCTGCTGCCAGATGACGAGGGACTCCCTTTGTTTTTGATCTGCAGCCAGGTTTCGCCGAGCGCCTTGGCAAAGTGGTCATCCACTGAGCCCGTGATGGACACCGAGTTGGTGGCGGTGGGCTCGGGCTCCTTGTAGTTTTTCCCAAGGCTGCGACGGAAATGTTCCTCAATCACAGGGTCGCACACTGTGTTGGCTTATGCAAGAAGAAGAGAAAAAAAGGGTTTTAGTTACAATTTTAGTTAAAAAAACAACAACAAAAAAAACTAAAATACAAAGAAATGGTCAGCAGGCAATTTGTTTTAATGTGCATGCGAGTTTACTTTTTTATTGCAGGTTTTCTTTTTAAATCAACATTTTAAACTTCACTGTTAACCTCAATGAGATCATAGAGATTTCACTGGGATCATAAAAACCCACAGAAAACATGAAGGAAAAAGAAAACAAATGTTTTATTGGCCAAGGCCTCGAGTGACTCTGTGGGTACAGAGATAACAGATAAGATTGTAATTAAGTATGTTTAAACGCTATCATAACAACGGTTTCGTTATACAAACAGAAGAACCCTAGCATTACTACAATACATTTACATCTGAACGTGGAGAGTATGAGCTGTTTTCTCTCTGGGGTGCGCATTGCTGTTGCAAATGCATTTGCAAACGTGTACTCACTGTTGCTTCTCCTGTAGTTATTGGTGAAGTTGGAGCAGCCGTTGTGGGAGACTGTACAGTGAGACAGGTTGCAGTTGCGGTTGTTTGCTGGGGCGCATGTGATCACTGAGGGACGATTCTGAAACACAAAGAGTCTGTGTTAAATGTCGAATTCAGTCTTATGATTGCCGATCAGCAATTTGCTAAAGCGTGTTAAAAGAAGCAGAGTAAATGCAAAATGAACAGAACAGCAACTTTTCAGAAAAGATGGAGAAAATGAAAAGACGTTTCAAGTTTGAGGCAGCAGGAATGATCCAGTGACCACCAGGATTTTAAAACATGGTTTGCAAACAAGCCAAATAGGAAATGTGTACTTTCCACCAACCAAGGAGGCAGGTTAATGAAAGCATATTAGTCACATCATGTGGGGGACCTACCAGAGTTGAGGTTTCACTCGACAATTTAAGAAAAATGTGGTGCGCATTAGAGCCAAAGACAGGACGGGTATGTTACCTGCTGGCGTTCCACAGTGCTGACTGTGTGCAGCACTGTAGCCATAGCTGCTGTGTTGCTGCGCGCTGACTCCACCATGCTGTTTTTGGTAAGTGCCAGTGGCTGGTCCATGGTAGCTAAGCTGGCCAGGTGGAGGTGATGGGGGTGGCTGTACATGTGGTTGCTCGGCACTCCCAGAGCACCCGGCACCACCACACGTTCGATGGGGCTCCTGCTGCGGTCCTTGGAGCCAGGAGAGCTGCGATAATCTCCATTAGGTTTCCTGAGGAACAGCCAAGTAGCCAAAAAACAAACGCACGTTATTCATCCTGCACACTGGATAGTGTTATTTAATTCATGTGTATTCTGAGTCTGCTAGCACTAAATTGACTCTGAAGCCAGTATCATAATTAAAATGATAAGAGAAGACATTTGGAGCTTAAACATAACGATCCAAGGTTATCAAAAACACAATATTTGGTGTTTGGGATGAGATGAAAAGTAAACATGACGTGCAAAGAGTGTTGACAAACGATGTAAGGAATGGGCAAAGAAAAAAAAAGCCAAGAAGTAAAGAGACAGAAAGATCACAAGGAGTTCAGCTAAGACAGGGAGAATGTGACGTGGGGGAAAAAAAATAAAGATTATAAAAGGACAATTGTAAATGGTGCTCTGTGTCAGCAGGAACGGCAAAAGCTATTAATACTGGTCTAACAAATACACACTCTCATGGACACACAGCCTTAGCTCTCAGATTGCTGGTGGGGTTTGATAAGACCATATGGTGCCAACACAGGCTCACACACTGTCCTCAGATGGAGGAAGGAACACTCTCCTAACTTTATCCAACATGGATAGACTCCAAACTTATCTCGACACAGGAGGGACAAATGGGCACAAAGTTCAAAGCTCTTGAGAGGTTTCCCCAGCAAAGCAAATCAACTTCATCTCTTCGGCAAGCTGCACTTACTGCAGTCATAATTTAAAAAAAGAAAAGAAAACTACTAACGGAGCATAGATGCAGGCTGATGTCACTCAACATTCAATTAAAGTCACTAAACATCCTTTCTTTGAATTTTATTCCATGTCCACACTTACAACAATGAAGTGATTAATGGAGTTTTGTAAAAGGAGGTTAGCCATGCACCTTCCATATGAAAGGGAATTATTTAGCAGCACTGTTATCACCAAGCAGTGAGCTCATATTTTAATCACTGCAAAACAGATAAGGATAAGGGATTAAAGTAACAACAGGTTAACAAAACAGGCTTTCTTCCAGCTCTGACGATAATGATTGTGATATGTCTGATATGTAGACAAGTGTTTGCGACTAAAGACCATTGAGTTGTAGTTTAACAAGTTAGTAATTGTTTTGGTCCCTGCATCAGATTTGCTCTGTGTTTTTTGTTTGTGTGTGTGGGTGTGTGGGTGTGTGTCCGTGTGTGCGGTTCACTCCCCTCTTACAAACTGAGGCCCAGCTACAGGGAGCAAGATTTACTGTACTCGCCTCTGTCTCTCCTTTTCTCTCCAACTCCATAATCCATTCACAGATAGAGACATCGACTTGCTCATTCCTACACAGAATACGCTACACATAAACCATGCAGGCTTGATTAAATTTGCAAGAAATAATACTGAACTCAAGCGAACATCGATTATTATATATAACTTCCTCATTCTCCACCGAATACTATGCAGGGGCATTTCCTAACCCACACAAGTTAAAAGGCTGCAGGAGCCCTTTAAGTTGCAAAACAAGCTCAAGAAAGCAGTTGTAGATCCATGTGACTAAGCAACCTGACTGTTGGGTCAAGCATCTGGAGTCCATGGCACAGTCCTCCACAAATAAACAATCTACACAGAATACATAAAGGGGGAGAGGAAGAGCCGAGAAGAGGTGGGGAAGGGTGAGTTGCATGTGAATGGTCGGGACCTCGACTTTAAGAAAGAGTGAGGTCAGTAGTTTCCTTCGTTTGTGCCGAGAGCTTACATTCACGGAGACCCGCTCTCTTCTTTTTCCTCCCCTTTTTCTCACAATCAGCAGCAAACTTCCTGAGGGTTAAAGAAGGAAAGGACTTGGCAGCGCTTTCATAAACCCTGGCCGACAGCTCACCAACAAGCTTTTTTTGTTCTTTTACAGTGGCATCAATTCTCCATTTCATCTTCATTTTTTTTTAAACAGTACAAATAAAAACATACATTCTGGAGCTGATCCCTTTAAATCAGGTCATAATTAAAACTAAAGCCTATTCAACTGAATAAATTGTTTAAATTATTACTACATGAAACATCCACTTTTAATCAGACAATATAAAGAAAGGTCCCCCTGCATAATTTCTCTATTATTTTCAAATATAAACAATCTCTTGATTAGCTAAGAGCCAAGCAGATAACAAAGCTCTCTCATCCCTTCCCAGCAGCTGGGTCTTGAGTTGGGTTGTGGAAGTTGTTCCAAACTTTAATCACTGCCAAAGAGCAGGCATGCCCACATCCTCATTCAAGAGGGCCCATTGCAGGAGCCAGTGAATGGGATCAACAAATCTGACCAATGAATGGAATAGCTGTCGAATCCACCGCCGCCCCCGCCTTCCCCTCGCCTGATTGCCCACCAAACCCTGGACCACATTTCATGCCAGAGATCAGGCTTTCAAAACCCACCCTGTGCCTTTGTCTCTCTTACTCACCTCTTAATTATCATTAAGGTCACAGCTGGGGAAGGAGGGAGAGGACGGACAGGGTAGATGGCAAGGGCTACACATGAAACATGGCCACTGAGCGGTAAAAAGGGCTAGAGCTAAAGAGAGCAGGCTGCCAGGACAAGAGGAATAGATGGGAGCTAAAAGTGGGAGAGAGAGAGAGAGGGGGGGGGGGCAGCCTTTGATTACTAAATAACACAGAGACTTGGCCCCTACAGTGGGCACTGGGAGACAAACAGCATTTTTAAAAAAAGAAGGGGGTGAGGTTGGAAACAGAGAGTAAAGGAAGCCCAAATCCAATAACGTATAAATAAACATGAAGGAAAGCAGTTTACAAACAACAAGTGAGCTCTTACCACCAGCAGTGTGATGACAGGATTCCTCTTAATTGGCAGAAAATGTTTGCTAAAGTGACGTTTCCTAGATAAACTGGCCAAACTACAAAAACCAAACTAAAGCTTTTTAAACGTAGAGCTCAGTCAGAATATGTGAGAATATTCAGTCATATCTTTTTCTAACGTCTCTGATCCCTTTTTTTCCAGTTGATTCACTTTGTAAATAGGAATGATGTAAAGGACATCAAAATGATCTGTTTGAGAAATGAAATACAGAGAAAATATCTATCTGGCTGTATTTTACTGCAGGCTAGGTTATATGCAGCCTGGTATTAGTGGTAGTCACTGTGGTGGGCACCTACTGAAAGATCCCTTAATTTAAAACCCAGAGAGTCCAACCCTCAATACATAAATGATATATTCATATATCTTTAACAATGTTACACTACTCAGATCTATCATTAAGCATAGCCTTTTAAGTAACCACTCACATGACATCCGGCCCGCAAGTCAACCTCAAGTTAAAGATCATACTGCGATCATGTGTTTGAATGATCTGGGGGGTGGGGTGGGGGGCAGGCAAGTAATTAGTTCATGCTGGCTAGAAAAGCAAGTCTGTTTGAGCTAACATGCCCTAATAGCCATGACAGTAAACTACATAAAACAAATAGAAACATATGAACCAAGAACTTTAAAAATATGGGTTCTTTTTCAAAGTGTGCCAGGGTTAATCCTGTATGAGACTGCCAGTTTGGTGAATTTGCTATATTTGACTATGAGGCAGCGAGACAGAAGCTATAAAAGCTCGAGGCTTTTTCTCACAATTGTGTTCCAAGGTCTTTAGAGAAAACCTCCCTACAAATCTTTGGTTGGGCAGAGGTTCATATCCAACTCTTTAATAAATGCATTTTTAAAAAAAAGCAAGACGAGAGAGGGGCGGGAGAGATACACACAGGAAACATCTGGGAAGAATCAGGGTGTAGAGGGAAGACAACAAAAAGAAAAAAAAGAAGTGGAAGAGGATGAAGGGCTAACCACAGGTTATAACCAGAACCAAGCTCTACAAGTTCTACACAAAACCACAAAAAAGAGATATACATACACATACACACTCACAGACTGTGAGCCACAGAGCTTATTCAGACTATGTATATATAATATACAAACATCTCAACACCGTTTACTCTGCTGTTTGAAGTCTTTAGTAGCTGGTGTGAGCGGAAGTTAGCAAAAATATCTGCATCCTTTAGGATCAAAGCCCAGAGGAAATGCCCTTTAATCAAATATCTGCTGAAACAAATGATATATAACACTTCATTTCTAAACCAAAGACTAGCTTGTTCACTGCTCTCTACATGCTGGTGCTGGAGCCTTCAGATTGTCAATCATGCAGAAATACTGATAGAAACAGCACATTTTTGACAGTTAACTGACTGCAGAGACAGAGAACTGAAGAAAATCCTTTGTTATCAAAGCTGGGACAGATCGGATATGGGAACAACCACAACAAGAAGGCAAAGAAAACAACATGTGAACACACACAGACACATAGACACACACAACTAAAAACAAAAACCCACATCTCCCCTCCTTTCCTCACATACTCGCTACATAAATAGTTTCATGTAAAACAAGAGGGTAACAATGACTTCACCAGCCACACTCACTCACTCAGTCACTCACACACACACACACACACACACACACACACACACACACACACACACACACACACACACAGACAGAGCCTCTTTCCACTCTTATTTTCTCCCCATATAGCCTCTAGAGAAACTTCCATGAGAACAACTTACTGATGAAGTTCCCAGTAGAAAGCAGCTGTGGTTTCTGTAAGCTACAGTATTCTGTGCAGCGATGTGATTTACTTGGATTTTGCATTTAGTGCCTATAGATACAGCCGTACATTTGGAGTAAACTGTAATACTGTATACTGTTTCAGCATAATGTAGCATGAATGCAACTGCAGATCTTCAGGCTTTCATTTCAGATTTTCATCGGTGGTTAAAATTCTACAGAGTGAAGAGAAATGGAAATTCAGAACTATTATCAAGTGCATGAAAAGCAAATATCTGTTCCAACCAGTGACTAACCACACATAGTTTGCATTAGTCAAGGTCCTCATGTTTTATTGGCGCATTCACAGAACCAACAGATTTTCATGGTATTTCAAAAAAACAACAAAAAGCAAACTAGTACCTAATGAGTCTAATGTATTTTGACTGCTGAAAATAAACTTTCCTGTAGTTAAATTCGCCAAACTACAGTCAATGCAAAAACTATGTCAGTGGCTTTTAGTCTCAAGGAGCAATGAAACTGTTAAGGACTCTCATACTGGCGAGTCTACAACTACAGAGTGGCAGGCAGGCACACAGGCAGGAGCAAGCTTCCAGCCCGCAGGCTCCAGTGGACAGGATAAGGCTTCTTTGTTCAAGGCTCCTCCTACTACTCAGAGAAAATGAAAAAGTAGCCCCTGTTGCCTGACCTCACCCCACACAGAAACACACACACACAAGCACTCAGATGATCACAGGTAGGAGAGCACGCATGCATGTATAAACAACACACAGACAACGGCACATGTGCATGCCTGCACAAATCGATGGATACATGTAGACTAGGGCGACATATAAGCACTGGCAGTTATTTCTATTAAGACTTCAATATTCAGGATTTTGAATGCCAAAAACCCTTCTGTGTTGCAAGAGTCTGTTTTCATTGGGACTTACAGCAACAACAACAAAAAAAGGAAGATATTATTAAAACAATAAGCCTGCTGAGAAAAACATACTTACGGCCACATTCTTAAAACACACAGGCAGCCGACAAAAGCAAAATGCATTCACTTATCATGCATGTTCATAAAAACAAACATAAAAGCTTCAGCTGGTTCAGAGAGTTTACTTTTTCTCACCACTGCCTGTGCACCTCCCCCTAACTTTAGCTCGTAGTGATTGGCCAACAGAGGAAACTTGAGCGTCCCCCCTTCATAGCCCCGCCCTAATCGGAGGTGTCAGGTGTCTGTGTGTGTTGAGGCTCACAGAAAATATGACTGAACTTAAAGACAAAAGAAGGCCAAATACACGGAGCTTGACAAGTCAGCACAGAGGAAAGCAGAGGAAAGCTGCAATACGAGCAAAAAGAGAGCAAAACCCACACTTTTCAGAAAAAAGAATGAACACAAAAGCTTCTGCATGGGCAGGGACACTCAACAGTGAGCTGAGCAATCAGTGCACACACACACAAAAAAAGAGAAAGCAGACAGACAGAAGCAGCCAGGAAAATCCAACAGATAGAGAAGACGTGGGAACTGCTTCTGTGTGTGGTTTGGGTGGAGTTTCATTTTTCTATTGAAAAAAAACCCCCATTAAGGGCAAAAAATAAAGTGCTGTATGAATGTGAAGGTGAATTGGTGAATAAGGGATGCGGTGTAAAAGTACTTTACTTATTAAGAGTAGAAAAAGCACTGTATTACAGTATTAATCTCCTTACATGGCACAGCTGAAAGGAAAACAATGTATGTTAAAAATCTGGCTGCCCCATGTCGTTTTTCATGTGGGGAGGGTGTTTAAGGAGCATTTTTAGCTCAATTTTCTCTGTAGCAACATCCCATCATTTTCCACTTCACTCCAAGTTCTTTGGAAAGGGAGGGGAGCTACACCTAGGAGGAAAGTGTTTCTGGCTGATGCTGGATACAAGTTTCAACAAGTCGTACAGCAGTTACCAGGGGAAGAATGCCCTCAGAGAAACCTCAAATTAGATGACTAAAAAAAGACACATTTGGGATGACCCGAGGGGAACTTGGTTTCCAGGATAAAAAAAAAATATATCTTTGTGAACTAGAAAGGCCCTGGATCCATCTTCAAGCTGCAGCAAGTCAAGTAGCAATTGACTTTTGTTAGGTAGAGATTAACCTGCAGCAGCAGGAGTCAAATGACTTCAAGGTCATAATTAAAATGGAGATTAAATACGGGGATTATGGCTTGCGCCTTGGAAATAATCATGGTAAAACGACCAGTCTAAAAAGCCCTAAACATCACAGACATTTGCATCAGTTTTATTTTTACAGAACCTTATTCTAGTCAAACAACATGGTTGCACGTAGGAGCTGTGGCGAGGATCTGTGACACCAACTGAAAGCTGATATAACAATAAGTTCTACTGTGCTGCACAACACCGACTTACGAAACTTGTGATACACAAGTAGGAGCACTTGCGTATCGATGCATGCAAAAGTTAACCACACAGTGCATATATAATGTCCCACGTGGAGTGAAAAACAACAGAGACAACAGAATAATACCACAAGCAGTGGTTGGATTTACTGCAGACTATAACCCTAATGCCCACACAACTGCCACAGAATAACAGGAAAAATGATGATTCTGCACAAATGTCAAATCTCACAAGCTAATCCTTTGTTATGTGTCACAAGATTAAAGAACAAAGATCCTTACCCACGGCCTCAGTAGAACAGCTTAATTCAAAAGTCAGATGCAACCTAGTCTAACCCTGCCAATGTCACACAGGCAAATGGATATATGCAACTTGAGCAGTTACTGTTGTTTTGTTCATGCTTCACAAGTCAAACAATAAATACATAAAAATAATCATGACAATAAAACGACATTATCTGTATGCTGCTATAAGTTCTGCAAACAATTATTGCTTCACAAATATCAGTAAATACACAAACACCAGTGTGTAATTTTTTCCATTTACCTGCACTGTGGAGTGTTGGAAAACAGTGCCAGTAATTTGAGATACTTCTGCAGAAAGTTTTTTGAGATTTTAACTTGTTTAACTCGATTTTAACTATTTGGCCAGAGTTGCTCGATTATATCATAACTATTTAATGTAATCCTAAAATCAACATTATTTACTCACTGACTTTTCAGACATACAAACTCATTTGTTGAAGGTTATATTCGCTCTTCCTTGTTGGACTCCCTGAAGCAAAATGTTTCCAAACAGCTGAACTGGTTTTACCTCTCTTGTTGCCCTAGGGCTCTTTTCTTCATCTTGGCTCGAGGTGAATTAAACCTGCCACAGCATGGCGAGAAATGACTTTGAGCTTTTTAGGGAGGGGTAAAAGGGCCACAGTTGTAAAGGAAAGCGATGCTCTGGAGTCATAACAAAAGAAAAAGCAAGTGCATCAGTGCGAAGCTAAACGTGGCACAAATTTTTTATTTTTCCGGTAACTTGTATTCACAACTACCGGGTGCTAAAACTAGCTGATGATGAAAATCAGGTGGTGGGCAACCATAGAATCTATCTACACGTGAACATTTTGTAGGGTTGCCTTTAAAATCTGTTGGTTTCCAAGTCATCTATTCTCAGACACTTGTGGGATATTCCTGTTTGGGCCAGTGGCATCATGTACTACATGTAAGTGTGTGACTATATAAGTTTAGCTATATAATAACAATGCTTGTAACCATTCTCTCTTCTTCCAGTTTCCAGTATATCCAGTCATTCATCTACTGCAGGGGTGTCAAACTCAAAAACACAGTGGGCGAAAATTCAAAACTGGAACAAAGTCGCGGGCTAACGTTAATATTTATTGAAATATATTTATTCCTCCAGATATAAGAATGAATCTTTTCTTATGGACTCAAACACGTTTTGCTGAAAAACTGAATATGGCCAGAGTTTGACACCTATGATCTACTGCATCCCATTGTGTCAGTTGAAAACTTCAAGAAGGATAAAAACAATCCACATATTACTTGTATTGTATTTTTGCATGAGGCAGAAATGGGCTTGAATATCTCACTCTTTGGATATTTCCTAATTTTATAGAATATGTAGTTTTCTGCTGTTAAATTTTAATTCATATGAGAAGCAAAAATATAATTTTGCTGCCCCTCTTCCTTTTCTCAAACTGATCATTTTATATACAAGTATAGCCAAAAGTCATAGCACAGCCCTTGTCTAGTCATTTGGCAGACAGCGCTGTGGTTATAAAAATATGTTCGACTTCTGCTCCGCTCCGCTCCGCTCCCCACCCCCAACCCCTACCCCCAGCATCTGGACATACTGACATACTGCACGCAAAACTGTACAGCTCTACCCAGCACCCCTTGACTCCATCTGCAATAAATAGCAATGGCTGGAGTCCTATAACTGACTCAGTCATGTCTGACTCTGACTCGACTGCCCCTGGCCCCAGCAGTCCTTCACCACCACCAACCAGGACTCTGGAATCTCTGGTATTGGGAATGCGGGAACGACTTGAGTAATCGTTCTGTTGTGCAGTCCCTGTTTCCAAGCTTCCAGAGATCTGCAGCTATAAGGAGTTTGTAACACTGTTGAGCGAGCTAAACCTGGCATAGCACCCTGGAGTCCAAACTAGGACTTCTAAGATAGCGCCACTGTGCACCGTTTCACACATGGATGGCAGAAACACGTGCATTGACAGGAAAAACTGACTTCTTTTAAAGGATCAAGGCACCAAGGGCTCTAAATATGCATTCTGGACATGTATGAAAAACAGTTCAGTGTACATGGCTATTCACTGGCTACAGTGTTTGTTTGTATATGAAAGAGACAGATGGACAGGAAAGAGAAATGTGCACTGATAGCAAACTACAAGTTCATTTTCATTTCCAGATACTCATAAAAAAGTGAGCATCTGGAAATTATAACTCCAGATGTTTATAAAGCTTTTTATTAGAATGTGTGTGTTGTTCAGTTGCATGTGTATATGTACTCACAGCTGCGCGGCAAACAGTCGACTCATCTTTGCCACGTGCTCATTTTCATCCATGTCGCTGTCCCCCTGATCACCACTCAGCTTCCTCTTAGTGGGGCTGATGGGAGGAGGACCCGTCCTGTGGCTGGAGGAGGAAGATGAGGAGGACGATGATGAAGACGAGGAGGAAGACGACAGGGACAGGAGTCTGGGGTCTCCTCTCAAAGCTGCCTCACCTGAGGAGGAAAGACATCAAGGGAGGAAAGAAAGACAAGACAGAGGGTTATTAGTGCTGCTGACACCGTGTTCCAAAACACGATCATTTAGAAGTCTGAATGAGTTTGAGATTGCTCCACTGCTACACAAACTCTGAAAGAAGAAAACATCAGGTGAAACGCAATACAACATTAGGAGAATGTGTCTTAGAAAGTTCGCAAAAGAACTGCTGCCTGCACTTTTGTCATTTTCAAAAATGAGACTAGAGTGACAGTTGTGCGGCTGTGGTCACCTCACGTGGTTAGCTTTACTAAGATTACTGTAAAATAAATGTCAATTATAGTAATTAGCCTAAATTATAGCATTTAAAAGCAGAAGGTGACTGCTGTATTGCCACTTTAAAACAAGGTGTCTACCGCATGACAACGTTACAGGCTGTGTCTGGGGTTTTGTTGACTTATACAGTTTGCTGAGAGAGGCACAAACCTCTGGCATAAAAGAAGGAGTATCTGGTGAGGAATGTTTTGAAAGAAATAGTTGCGGATGGATTCTGCATATGTTTGTGTGTGGGGGGGAAGTATTTCTCCCTCTGCAGCCTTATCCCTCGTACAGAAGGTCTACAGAGTTGTCAGTGAGTGGGAGTTTAGAGCAAGAGAATCAGGAAAACTACCACTGGCTCTGTCTCAGCATGGGGACTTTCCACTGCTTCTGCCTCATGTATCTGTCTGACTTTACCCAAACAACACTGAAAGGCCTACACTAAAACTCCTAGTCCAACTCACATAAAAACGAATTAGTTACAAACACTTGCTAACTGTTAGTTCATCCTTCATTTCAAATTATTTTGTATAACAAACCAATCAGTATTGATTAGATTTTGGAGAAATATTCTTCCTGCATTTGTAGAACCAAAAGAAAAACCCAAAACACACACACACACACACACACACATTAGTACTAAGTAGCAGGACATTAGACATTAAACTGAATTCTTATAAATATTTATTCTTCTTTTCTTCAGATGAATAAGGTCATAAAATCTGGTTGAAAGCCAGTTTAAACTAAAACTGAGTCATTCAGAATGCGGCAGCAAAAACAGCCTAAAGACTATGAAAAGACTTTGTTCCTCCACCATTCCTCCATGTATGTTAAGCTTCATGGCCTATGAAACACAGCTGCAGCTCCTCCCCTCACCCTCTCTCTCTGGCATGTTCCTTCTCGTGCTACTGTGTACCATGGTAACAAGGGTGACATCATCTTTTTTGGCAGGGAGAGGGATGGCAATAAAGGAAGAGAGACTGACACCACACTGTCCAATCAGCATCCAGGACTCGCTTATCACCGAGTAAAGTGCTCAACAAAAGAGTGAATCTGCGAGTGGTAAGACATTCGACCGTATGAGGTCAAACACTGTTGACCTGCGCGACAATACAACTGCTATTGCACACTAATATATACTAGGTTGTCATTCAAGTGTAACCATCTGACACGACTGCAGCCTTTGAGAATTTTATTATGTCCGCTTTTTCTTATGAGTTATAGAAGATGATTTCACAGCCTAATGCAGTTTCAATACACACTAATTCTGCATTAGTCATTCGTGTTTTTTTAAACTAGGGATATACAACAAACTGGAAACTGGTTGCATAGTTTTCCTTCTGAAACTAACCTGTATTGGTGATAATTTGAAGGACAATGCAATGAAATCATTTTCTGCAATTTATTCTCAAATCAAAAGGCAAAAAGAAACAACAAGAGCAGAAGTACTTACACATTAAGTTTTTATATATTTTTACACACTTCCTATATGTATCTACATATAGGAAGTGATTATTTATAGTACATTAGTTTAAATATTTGTTCACTAAATACATTTCATTTACATTAAACCAGCAGACAATTAGTGGGAATAGAGCCGTAACCCAGAAGCCAAACTCCACTCTGTCTTTTCCCCTCTCTGCTCTCTGAGTTCATTAGGTCCACATGATCAAAGCCTATTTCTCCTGATAGAACTTCAAACAGCTTGGATCAGGATGAGATTGGATTACAAACTGAGGCGAGCTTCCCTCTCCATCGCTCTCATTTCCGTCTCTCTCCCCCTTCGTCGCTCTGTCTTTCCCCCCTATCTGATACTTAAAAAAAAGATGGTTCCTAGCATGTCTTCTCTCTGCAAAACAGCTATGTAGTTATTTTTGGCTGAATTTCTCAGTAAATTGAACTTGGCCCTCTGGCTGCCTTTATTATCCGAGTCCATGGAGGTTTTACACTTTAAATACTAAAAAGGAAATACAAAAAAAAGCTCTTCCACAAAAGTCCTGGACTGTATGAGACTGACGTGAACTTTTAAACCCGATGTTAGATTTGTTTGACCTCTGATATGAAAATGGAGACAGAAGAGAGGGGGAAAAAACACAGCGCAAGTAGGTGGTTTAGCATAATCAGGTGTCGCATGTCACATTGATGACACATCGGAATAAATCCCTACATGGCTCACATTAAAAAAAAGATTCAGTGTACTATTTGGCAACATGGTTTTAATTCTTAGCTAAACTACTGAGCATCAGAAATGCTGATTGCTTCAAGGTCAGCTATGATGTGTTAGGGAGATTTTAGACAACTATATCAATACAAAGACTGCTGCTTATTAAAACTCTAAATTCTATTCTCCATATTTTGGTTAAAATAAAGAGATGAGATGATGTTTTGTGCTGTGCTTCAGTGGTCAAGAGTCTAAGTTGCAAGTAACAGCAATACAAAACTAGTTATCTCTAGTTCATCAGATTAACTAACTTAGAGAAACAACCTGGACCTAGTGACCCTCTTATTGGCTCTTTAACCCACCAAAGTTGTAACTGCCTTCACAGTAACTCTACAACATAATTCCTTCACTTTGCCTGTGTTGCTTCACCATGGCGTCACTTCTTTGCTGCCTGCTGTGTACGTTAGACAAAAATGATGTTGTATGATGTCAATCATGAATTATTTTTTTTATTGGTAAAAATAATTGCTTTGGCTTAACTTTGTTTTTAATTCATAGATCTGCCACCAACTGCATTTTACAGTTTACAAAAATTCATATTTTGCTCTAAATCCAAATGAGCCATTTGAACCACTGAGCCCTGAAATCTCTTTACAATTAATTAGGTGACAGCCCCAGGAAGCTGCCAAAGCTGTGACCACTGCTTGTCGAAGGACTACTTATAAACATTTAAGGAACTGTTTAAAACTCATATCAACTGAGCTTCAAGTTTCTGAAAACTAAAGGGGTGTTCAGTGAAGTAGGAACATCATAGAAAGTCGATGACATTCAGCAACTTCAAGCAACGATGCAATGGGTCCCAAGTTTTGTCAACTTTAAGGCAACTGATTGAAGCAACTAGCAATTAGAGTGAATGGTATTGCTGATTGGCAAAGGGGGCAAATATATTAACAAGTTATCCAGGCAACATTAGCCTAGAATGTCCACAAGCAACCAACCACAGGCAGCAAAGCGACAGCCAATGAGCAAGTATGGTGATAGATCAAGTTTTGGGGGTTTTCTTTTGGCAAGTCCTATCCCCACTTCAGCCAGTATGTCACATGTATGTATTTAGTATGCATTTAGTTTGAACATGCAGCACATCGAACATGGCTGGAGAGCATAGAAGGAAAGTGTTGAACAATGTCAGTCGCAATCAATACGTTGTTTAACCAATCTAATTTCAATGCTGTGGGCCCACTGTCAATCAGCTCTGGCCAATCACAGATAAATCATTACTGTTTTTCTCCTGTATATGCTCTTATGGCTTCTTTTATAAACAAACATAAAGCAGAAAGATATCTGAGGAAGTTTAGAAATGCCATCACTCTGTAGTTTTTGTCAATATGGCAGCCCCAAAACTACAGTGTTGGTGGGCTTCAGATTTGAATGACTACTATATGGAATTTGTTATGAAGCACACAGTTGCATACAATTTAGGACATGGCATAAACTTCCAAATTTCACATGTTCATCTGTCCAACCAGGAGTGAACACACATTTTTCTTTAACTCACAACTGAGATGAATTAAGTCATAAAGCCAGAAAGGAAGACGATTAATGTCACTGTAGGTTCACGTCACCGTCATAGCACATTAACCACCCCTGGTGAATGAACTTGAGGTCAGAATCTGTTTTTCCATGAACCAAGTCAAGACCCTAAATGATGTCAACTTTTTTCTAATTCACTACAGCTGATTTGATTTGTTTGTGCGAGAATTCACTAAACTTTGTCACTTACACAGTCTGTAAAAACAATATATCTACCTGCACAACAAACAAAATGTTCAACCTGAGATTACCTAGAAAGTCACACTAGTGCAGACTATCCAAGCTGTTCATCCATTATTACTTTTTTTTAGCAGCTATTCAGTTGCATTATAGGCAGGGTATTCAAATGTCCCATCTGCATTAAATGTTGTTAAATGTCAATGATAATACAGGAGCAGTAATAGCTTCACAACAGGACAGTATACAAGTAGGTGTGGTGTAGTTTGGCTCATGCATATAGTAACAAGTCAGAACACCCACAATATCACAAAGCACTTCTATCCCTTCCTTGGCTCAACAAGTTTGAACATGAGGGGCTTTCCTTTTCCCCTCTTAACTGATAAGCGTGTCCTTTTAGCTTTGTTTTCTTATCATGAAGCTCAGATTTTAGCTCAGTCAGCTAAAAACCATACACTCTCTCTCTCTGTGTCACACACACACACACACACACACACACACACACACACACACACACACACACACACACACACACACACACACACAAACAAACAAACACAAAGAAAACCAAACTGATTGTCTTAATAGTGCAGAGATATGCTTCCAGACACAAATTGTATCCAAACCAGCAGATATATAAGCACAAAAATACCACTACAAAGATTTTATCTCCATCTTTACTTATGTCATTTTATTTAGAGTTAGATGACAGCTGTGAAGAGTGAAGCTTCGTGGTGACACAAACGCTCATATTCTGACTAGCAAAAATCCCGGGCCAGTGGCAGGCTTATCTAATACACCTGCACTGTGCAGAAATGGCACCAACATTTCTCAATAATGGCATGTGAGCTCAAGCTTCTGAGAACAGTTTGAAGAGTCATGTGCCTAAATGCAAGCAACAGCCAAACAGGAATTACAGCAACCCAAGGCTTTTTTCCCCTTTCCCCAGAAGCATTAGAAACAGATAAAAACACAACAGAAGCCTTAATCACATGCCAAACCGCAAAAAAAAACAAAAAAAATTTTTCTTCTGCTGCTGGTAGCATAGGTTCACCAACAAAGAAAAAACAGAAACTAACGTCTGTTTTAATCATATGCCATTGTGCAAATGTGCAAAATGGGTGTCAGTCACAGCATATTTAAAAGGAGCTCCATTACAAGTTAATTATATGTTAAATGATGAGGCAAGCTGAAAGGCACAATAGCAGGGGAAAGAAGCAATGTGACTAAAAACAGGAGAAGAAAAGCCTGCCAACCAGTTTATTAAGAAAATGCGTTGTCTTTGTGTTGCTGCTGCTTTTGTAATAGTAAAAAATAAGATAAGGACTAATTATCAGTCACCACGTTATCTACCAGTCTCAAAGATTTACTTTCTATCTATAAAACATATTACTTTATGTTCATGTCATAAACTGAACATTTTGACCTGACTTCAGCTTGACAGTTGAGGACCTGCTGGTGAAATTAAACAAGGACATGCTTTTTTTCACTCTTGGATTAGACCCTAGTTGCTGCAGTAGAGGCCAGCGACAGGGCAGAGGGAAAACTTGGACATAGCCCCCGGACAGACAGGATAATCTTACAAAGCCTGACAGGAGACAAGAGCGTTTTCAAAGTCAGGCAGTTTGCAGAGATTTGGAATCTTCTACTCTCTGATTTCATGACAAAGACATAATATTGAATGAAAAAGTTACCTTAATGCCATGAAATGACTTGCAGCCCACAGAAAGAAATCTCTGCACTTGTAAAATTAAACAAAGATTAGCAGCTGCAGCTTACAGCGTGCTGTAGGGGGTCAACCCCACAAAACAAGATGTGAAAATCTTGGACACATCCGTTCATCTGAATGCAAACGGCATGAATAATAGGACACCACCAGAGAGCTCGCTAACTAGTAATACTGAGAGTCAGTCTTATGAGAGACCATTAAATGGACACACGACTTACAGACAATTAATTCAGCCTTTTCTTTCTAGATTTTTATTCAATAATAAAAACAATGATATGACAAGTGAATAAATGCACTTCCAGCCATTCAGAAAAGGACAAAATAGAAAGAGAGCTTACACCAACTCTACGTCAAATGCGTTACAATCGGGTTAAAAACAAATGCTGAAAAACACTACTCAAGTCTGTATTCATAAATCGTATACAACCTAAATCAATGCTCATGTGTACAGAGTGGCACGTTTTATCTACCGTGCTTGCGGGAAGAAACGACTAACTAGCGAAGCAGCGTAAACTGAGGAGAAAACTTCGACCAGCTACGTCGTTAACGTTAGCTCGCAGCGTAACGCCACTCCGAAGTTTAAAAACAGCCGTACGCCCACAAACAGCCCAAACCCGCTAGTTTACCTTCGTAGCAGAGAATGCCAATGTTGTTGTTCATCTTGTCCAGGTACTGGTAGTTCAACAGGTCCATTTTCATTAGTAGCATTTATCGGGCTTTAATTAAAAACAAAGGGGGGAAAAAGAAGACCAGCTTGTTTTCTCCCTTCTCCTCTGAAGCGACGGTAAAAAAGCTAAAGGCCCAGCCTCCAACTTTACTTCTGTGGAAACTCAACAAAATTTAACCCGTGTGGAAAGTGATCTCAGTAAGTTTACTTTTTGAAATACGGGTAAGTATGCAGCGGTGACAAAGCGCAAAGAAATAAAATAATACAAAAATATGAGTAGCGTCAGTTCTCCTCACAGCCAGCTGTAAGTCGACTGCACTGACACGCAGGCTATGCTTGGTATGACTCCTATGCTTCACCAGCGGTTTCCACTGTTGCTGAGAGGGACGCACTGGGCATGCTCGCTAAATCCGTGGAGCGCCTCAAATATCAGGGATATTTTACGCACAAGATCAGCCTCTCCAAACACATCCAGAGAGAAAGCGAGCGACGGGAGGGAGAGAGAGAGAAAGACACACACACACACACACACACACACACACACACACACACACACACACACACACACACACATTTTCTTCCAATCTAAAAATAGTTTCTTTTTTTAAGTAAAAATCAGTCAACATGTTCAACAAGTCGAATAGTTATAGAGAAAACTCATCGTGACCTTTGACCTCCATTCCATACTAGAACCACCATAATATCATCTATGATTTGTTAAATTTTAACAGTTATCAGTAAAATAAGACCTTTATGTTAAAATATA